CCCAAAACAGCTGAGATAAAGGAATGCAGAAAACTCTATCAGCTGCTGAGAGAGAAAAACAAAACAGGGGTTCTACAATGGATTCCTGGTCGCTGTGCCATTAAAGGCAATGAGCTTGTTGACACACTTGTTAAGAAGGGGACAACGATTTTGCCGATGTCTTTCCACACAATGAAGACCTTAATCAAAAGAGAATTCCTGACCTCAAGGTGCAACGAACTTAAAGCTCGAACAAAGGAGAAACAGTGGACAGTGGCACTCTCCGACATACCCGACTGGCCAAGAATCGAAGCCGTTGCTGATTTTAGACTACGTACCGGGCACGATTGTTTGGCAAAAACATCTTCACAGATTGGAAGCATACACCCAACCCACATGCCCTCTATGTAACCTACATGAGGAAATGGAGAAGACCCATCTGATTCGGTGTCCAGCCCTAAAGACAACAACGGAAACTCGGAGATACTGGGAAGCAAGAAGACAGCTAATGAACTGCTATAAATGTACCCTCCCCCCTCTTGGGGGAAGCTGAAGTCAAAGTGTAAGGGCTAATGATAAATATCACAAAGCCTGCCATTTGAAATAAATAAATAAATATATCAAAATCCTTTTACTACTAAATTTGCAGCCTAAATTCATGAATTTGAAATAATGAAGTACTAAATGGAAATCGTCCACAAATATAAAAATTTAAACCTTGATTTTCAATCCGGAGATTACCTTAAGGATTGCGATTCGTTCCAACCTCAAGCATAAAAAAACGTAGTTTAAATGGCAATTTGCTTATCACTCTGAGAAATGCTATTTGTCTGCGTCTAAATTTACTTGAATATGGTCATGTCCAATCATATTTTACTCGAATAAAAAGTAATTTCAAGTCCAAGGCTACAAAATGCTTCCTTGTAGTTGTCCCAGCAAAGGAATTCACGAAGCACTGAAACGTCCAAGATAATAAACAATTGGAAAATAGGATGGCGTTGTCGCCACTGTGCTATGTCCGCCAAGCTAGTAGTAACTTCGCCCGACCAATTAGAGGAATAGCTCATCAAAGGATAAGAGAATTTGAACCTCCTCGCCATTTAAAGAGACTCATATAATTTGTCTTAGAATTATATAAAATAAAAAATATTTAATGCAGAAAACATAACTTGGATAACGTTTATTTGAAATTCAATAACAATTTATAAGTGAAATATTGGTTATTTCATTCACAAAGCCACATTTGTATGACCTAATTGCTAGATGTTAGCTTAGAAACATTTGGGAAAAATATTTATAAATATTTGTGCTAATTTCCTATTCGATTTAAATCAGCGCTTATTCAAGAAGTTTAAACTATTCTAACTCATTTATAAATATACATTTTCTTAGTTTTTACAACGTATTAGACCAATGGAATATTTTAAGGTCTGGAAACACAAATAAATATGTGCAAATGTTTGCAAATACACAATAATCGAGTAAGAATGTAAATCTTTGGCAAAGTAAGCATATTTAGCTAATTTTACCTGTTAAATTCTGTAAGCAAATAAATTTGTAGATGTAAAAAATTAGACTGCACCCATCTAGTAAAATACTTAAATTCTTAATTAATTGTTATGATTTATAAAATGAGCACCCTTACTTAAATTAATGGACTCGAAGGAAAAAGAACATTAGCCCCGTTTTTCTTATAGAAGTAATATTTCCCTTTAATCCCATACCAAAAATAAGCAATTTATTGATTTTTGGCGGAATAAGTGTGAAATTTTAAATTCAAATTAATAAAAAATGTTTTATTCAAACAGGCTGTGTGATGAAAAAAAGTTTTTTTTCAAGACACGACCAATACATTTTCATTTTTTCTTGAAAAATTGTTGATGCATATTTAGCTGGGTAAATGAGTACCCTTTTGGTTATGTTTATGCATATTTTAAAAGTATCACTTACAAGACACCGTTGGAAAATGTCAGATTTCTTTTACCCCCACACTACATTAAAAGCGTTGTAGAGTTTCTAAAAATTGGTCAAAAAGCCATCACAAATGCGACAAAATTAATTTAAAGAGAGGTCTAGTAGGGGAAATATTTAGAGACCTGAACTGATACATCCAATTTTCGTACTTTCATTCAGCACACATACAATTCACATGTGATGATAAAGTAAAATTTTCAAATTTTCTTTTATACTGAATTATTAAAAATAAATATGTAATTAATCATACCGTTGTGTTTAAATTAAAGGCAAATAAAGAAGTGAAAGCAATGGCTTATTAATTAATTCATAATTAAACAAATGAAGCCAAGAAGCTCCGATATACAGTAAAAATTCTAAGAAAAGAGACAAAATTTTTGACGGTGAATGCATTTACTTATTTACATCATATGGCAGGCGTTTTTTGGTTATCATCGGCCCTTTAGCTGACTTCGGGCTTCACGGTTGAGAGGAATAACAAAGTGAGAAAAATTCGAGAAGGGGGAACAGAAGAGCGAATCAAAGAGACAGTCATAAAGGTATAGAAAAAGGCAAGGCAAGGGGAGTACTGTGGAAGTGGTTGAATAAGACAGATATGTTGGGTCATGGTAGCTTGAAGTCAACTGTCGGTTTATAGACTATTTTGTCTACGTTGTCCATGGTGCACCACAGCCCCATATATTTATTTGATTATCCTTTCAATTTCGCCTGCAATTCCGCCATCCAGGGCTTGTTAGCCTGTCTTAGTGGCACAAACACCCAAACCAAGTAGACTGTCACAAATAGGTTGAATAAAATATGCGCAAAGGTATAAAGGTGGAGGTCATCGTAAAGTGCTCAAAATTATACATTTGAAGGAAAAATAACAGTAAGAGTAATGTTTAAATTACCCTCGATCTGGGAAAAACGTGAAGAGTACTCCAAATTTGCTTTACCATTATTCACATTAAATGTTAAAGGGGAAGCGATGTACACCTGCATGTCCGAACTATAAATCTCAAACAAATTGTTTAAGACCTTCAACTTGCTATTTTATATAAACGACTGAGGGGATTTTTGTAATTTTAAATAATTTGAGGGTGGAATATAATACGATGCGTGCATTTTACAAAGTAAAAATATTGAAAATTATTCCTGGTTAACTTTTCACATTGACACACACCATTTTAGGTCGGATTTTCTTTGAAGAACTTCTTCAAATTTCCTTGAAGACTCTCGGATGGTTCTTGCTCTTTCAAGTCTAGAGTTCAAAGTACCTAATAGGAAACTAGCGATATGGTAAATCTCAGTCTTCATCCCGACCATAGGTGGATTCTGATTGTCCACTGGAGTATATATTTTCAAAAAAGTTGCATATTAGATCTTGGAAAAGGTATATTTGGGGAGCAGGATGTCATAGCAGTGGTATCAACCAGTCAACAGAAGTTTTTTTTTCAAATGGCAGGCGTTTTGATAGTTATCATTAGCCATTTGGCTGACTTTGAGCTTCACAGAGAGTAGACATCAAAGTGAAAAAAGTCGAGAGGGGGACAGAATAATGATTCAAAGATGTAACAGAGACAGACAGACACAAAGGCAGAGAAAAGGTAAGATGTGTACTGTGAAAGTAGTCGAATGTGGCATACAGTGGGGTGATGGTAGTTTGAAGTCAGAAGTCAACTGCCAGTTAATAGACTTTTTAGCCGTATGAGTATACATTGTAACATACAGTGGGGTCATGGTAGTTTGAAGTCAGAAGTCAAGGCATACAGTGGGGTCATGGTAGTTTGAAGTCAGTGGTCAACTATACAGTGGGGTGATGGTAGTTTGAAGTGAGAAGTCAACTACCAGTCAATAGACTTTTTTCCGCATAAGTATACGTTGCCCAGGGTGCACCACATGGAGGTTGTAAGTACACGTTGCCCAGGGTGCACCACGTGGAGGTATGCCGTTTGAGTATACGTTGCCCATTGGTTTATAGACTTGTTTGCCGTATGAGTATACGTTGCCCGTCAATGGGGTGATGGTAGTTTGAAGTGAGAAGTCAACTGCCACAATGGGGTCATGGTAGTTTGAAGTTAGAAGTCAACTGCCTTTAATAGACTTTTTTGCCGTATGAGTATACGTTGCCCAGCGGTTTATAGACTTTTTGCCGTATGAGGTCTGTTGCCCAAATATGACATACAGTGGGGTCATGGTAGTTTGAAGTCAGAGGTCAACTGCCGGTTTATAGACTTTTTGCCGTGTTAGGGTTAGATCAACTGCCGGTTTATAGACTTTTTTGCCGTATGCGCATACACAATGACATACAGTGGGGTGATGGTAGTTTGAAGTGAGAAGTTGTGACATATAGTGGGGTGAGGGTAGTTTGAAGTCAGAAGTCCACTGCCGGTTTATAGACTTTTTGCCGTATGAGTATACTTTGTAACATACAGTGGGGTCATGGTAGTTTGAAGTCAGAAGTCAAGATGTCAACTGCCGATTAATAGACTTTTTTGCCGTATGAGAAGTGATAAGTCAACTGCCGGTTAATAGACTTTTTTGCCGTATGAGTGGGTTGCCCAGGGTGCACCGCGTGGAGGTAAGTCTATCGCAACAACTGCCGGTTAATAGACTTTTTTGCCGTATGAGTATACATTGCCCAGGGCCTATCGCACATCCGTTAACAGATGTGTAAAACATATTCTTAGGTATGGAAAGCAAAAGGTAGTTACCGCAACTAGACCCTCATTGGTTGCACATTTACAAATCCGAGGAAATGAGAACAGAACTCGATGTTAAAAACATTAAGAGCCTCTAGATATCATGTAATGCAAGCAAAATTACTAGCTCTATATTACATCACCTTTATTTTCACAATAGTAGCAGAAAGACTACACCTTCGTTGTTTTCCGATAACTTAATTTTCATGATAACTCAACATATACTTGCATCTGACATTAACCAGATGCAATATTGCTCGCTTTAGATTGTCTATTTACCACAACATTTTTTTCTGCAGTTTAATCACAACCCCTAGAGCTTCGCAACATCAAAAAGGTTGATTGTTAAATGCAATTCATTGGGTTATTAATGGTTTATTGAGGAGTGAACCAAATAAATATTTATATTTATATTAAAACTCTGTGTTAACCTAACGATTTACTGAGAGGGGATTGATCGAATGTTCCTCAAAACTTCGAAATGAAATGAAAGCAATATGTCAGCCTTTCTTTATGAACAAGTAATACCGTTCTATTCCTCTATATTGGGTTTGAGTTCAGAGGGTGTTTTATACAAATCATTTAGCAAATACCAATTAACGTTCTACGTAACTTAGTTACAATACCAGAAAAGATGCATGTTACCTAAAAACATAAACAATGAATCAACGTAAGCAGTAATTGAGGCAAAATATCATATTGGTATCTTGGATTATGAGAAGAAAAACTATTAAACGAAGACAAAAATGTATATGTTAAAGAAATGCAAAAGATTCACCAGGCAATATTTTATTAGAATTGGATGTTGCAGATAAATAATTCAATGTCATTCCGAAATGAAGAAAAAAACATCAAAAACTCTAATTGTAATTTTTTTATAAATTTTGAGCTTTTAGTAACAGTGGAAATGCATAACTGTTAGAGCTTCGTTTAAGACATTCGACATCAAAAATGCTCAAATCGATTGGAAACAAGCTTTAATAAAAAGTAATGTCTTGCGTAATGGAAAATAATTCCTTTAAATTCACAGATAACTTAGTAAGAAATTCATTTCAAATTTCAAATTTTGTTTTCATTTTTCATCTTTTCTGATGATTTGATGTCACAAAAAACATAAACAGTCCTTTTCAAAGTTGCATAAGAAATCATAAGCTCAAACAAAATATATTCTGAACAATATTTTACAATTGGTAGGGAAAAAATACAAGCATTTAGAAATGCGAAACAGATAGAAATAATTCACCGCTTGAATGAATATATTTCGAAATTCTACGTTTGTCTCATGTCGTTTAATTAAAAATCATTATTGACCCCTTTTATTATAAATTTATAAGTTAATGGCGAAATTGGAAGGCTTAATCGAGTGTGCGATAGTTAATTGACAATTCATACTTAACACCTGGATTTAAAATAATTGAGTGAGAATTAGTGCACCATTTACACTGTAATTGGTGAAGAGTTTTAAAAATGACAATTTAATATTGAAATCTATACGCTTTACTGCACAAATCGTAATTCCAATATTACCTTTTGGTTAAATAGATAAGTGTAATGGATTTAAATACTGAAATCAGCACTAAGTTTTACCATAGACAAAACCCAAAATGTAATCAGCATAATCTGATTTAATTAGAAAAAATTAATTTCCGGAAGTGACAGGACGACTTTTAGCCAAATGATAAATTTCCAAGGAAAATTTCATTTCCTTAATTGTAAAATTTGTTCGTTAAAATTATCTTTTTTACAAAATGAAGACTTAAAGGCAACATAATTTCTAAATGGAATAATAATAAGTGAAGTTAAATAGCAATATTCAAAAAAATTCATTTGACTGAAATTTGTCCCAAATGGAATCCTCAGTTATCGCCACTGAGATATTAACAATTACTGATATGCACATCTGTTCATCCCTATGAACTACATCAATTCTCTAAAGTTCTCCCTCCAGGATATTCCTTTTATTCACGGAACCGAAACTCACCTATTCGCATCTTGCATAGAGTAAAGGTCTATTTCCAAGCATGCAATCGATTATGTGTGAATACGAATTCAAATAAATATAAGAGGATAAAATTTGGCTCATCAGAAGCACCCTTTCATTTATTCTGCTTTAAGTGAAAAAAAACATTCCCATTTTAGTCTCGTTTATCAGATTCTCCAAAGGTGAGTCATTCGGTTGTGCGAGGCCATTAAGAGGTCTAGTCTATTCGATTTATTGAATATTCGAACTTCTGATGTGTACGATAGACTTTCCTCCACGTAGTGCGTCCTGGGCAACTTACACTCATACGGCAAAAAGTCTAATAATCGGCAGTTGACTTCTGTCTTCAAACTACCATCACCCCACTGTATGTCATATTCCGCCACTTTCACAGTACTCACATCACCTTTTTCCTACCTTTGCGTCTGTCTCATTTTCATCTTTGAAACACTCTTCTGTTCCCCTCCCCTCTCGACTTTTTTCAATTTGATGTTCCTTCCCCTCTGTGAGGCCTGAAGTCAACTAAAGGGCTAATGATAACTATCAAAACGTCTGCCATTTGATATAAATATTCGAATTTCTTGAGAATTTTTAAAGTAGACAACTGATTAGTCGCATCTGCCTAAAAATATTTTTATTTATGACGATTTTTTAA